AACCTTAAGCTTCTCAGTTTGATGAAATTGCTGCTGAATATCTGTGAACAACCTCAGGGCAGATCACCACACAGATTCTCAAGGCACATCTTCTCCTAACATATTACTTTCTTTAGGAGAAATCTATCCAGTAATATACCCTAGCCCCTCACAATGATGGAGATTTGGATATAGATGGAGTTCGTTGGGGTGAGATCTGGAGCCCACCCCCAAGAAGGAACTCTGGAGACGTCTTTGGTGCAAACAGGTGGTTCATTAAAGGCCGGGGACAGGACCCGTGGGCAGAAAGAGCTGCTGCCCTAAAAAATAAATCTTAACACTAAGTTCTCAGTATAGAGCTCTCCAAAAAACAAAACCTAGTAGTAAAAAAAAATATGAGTTTTTGAGTCAGAATGTCTGAATTTGAATCCAGGATCCATCAGTTAGGTAAACTTTAGTAAGTTACTTACTCTCCCTAAACTTCAGTTTTCTGACCTGTAAAGGGGGTTTAACAATACTATTTTATCCTTGTAAAACTGTGATCCCTGAAGACATAAAGCATCTAAATCATTTTGAATTTATTCTTGGCATATAGTAAGCATTATGTAATTATTTTAAATTACAGTTAACATTAGTAGCATCTGCTTACTCATAGTTCATTTTATGATAATAACCCTGACAGGCAAACAAGCCATTTAAATAACAGAGTGTAAACCAAATTCGTACTGAGAGCTTTCTTGGTGTCCTAATATTCCACAGAACATATTATCCTCACAAAGGGAAAAGAATAGAACCCAGAGCTTCCTCAGACCATGGCTCTCTTCTTTGTGTGACAGGAATGACTAATCAAAAGTCAGGATAATAACGTGAGGCCATGTTTCTGCTGCTCTACAACTGTAGGTTCTGGAACCCAGTAAAGAACAAACTGAGCCAGGACTTATAAGAGAGACCCATATAATACTGCTTTCTAAACCAGTGGTCTCCAAAATCAGAGAAGAAAAAAACCGTTTTGAACATGTACCCTGAAATAAATACATAATTTATGTATATGACCTACTGTACTGACAAAGTACATTAGAAAACATTCTGAGGAAAAGATTAACAGCAGATCTGAACTTTTCTCCAAACACTGTCTCCTTGGAAACATTTTGGGCTATGATAAATGGGGAAAGCCAGCTGTGTTTCCAGGCAACATTGTTTATTATTGGTGTAATGCATCTGGACCAGGAGGGTTATGAGTGCACTACAATATCATTCAGGACGCACAGACCTCAGTTTCCTGTGTGCGGTGTGTTCTCACAACTGAGGGCATCCTTTGAGGAGATTGGGGCTGCTACCAAGATCCTGGTTCCTGTGGAGCATGAGCCTTATGCAAGGCAAGGTAGTCCATGCCTACCCATATGGTTTATTCATCTGGAAACTGAGTTACTACATGGGGGGGCAAGGGAGAGGAGGTGGGAAATGATTCCTAACCAACCAGAGGGATCCCCACAGAAGGACCTGATATTAACCTATTGACCTATCCTCTATGATTCTGCTCAGTCAAGTGAACCTGATGCCAGATGATGGCCTCTTGTGTCATATTAGTGTGAGTCTCAAGACAAAACCACAGTCCACTTTGGTTATCATGGAGATATATGCACACACATGTATATTATTTCCTTCCTCTAAGCTAATGGATTATTTTAAGCACTACACCTTTGAGTAAACTGCTTGGGTTAACACACTTTTCAGAATTTTGGGGGTATATTCTTTGTAACAAGTTTAGGATACTCACTTTTTTTCCTTTGTGATCTTCTGATGTTTTTGACAGATCCTTGTCTTTGGTCATTGTAAACCTTTGGCTTTCTCTGCAACTAATATTGCAGGCAGGCCTTTTTATTTTTATTTATTTATTTTTATTAAGTTTTGTATTTTAATTCCAGTATAGTTAACATACAGTGTTATATTAATTTCAGGTGTATGATATAGTGATTCAATAATTCTATACATTAGTCAGTGTTCCATGAACCCCAATGTTTATAGCAGCATTATCAACAATAGCCAAACTATGGAAAAAGCCCAACTGTCCATTAACTGATGAATGGATAAAGAAGATGTGGGGTGTGTGTGTGTGTGTGTATGTATGTGTGTGTCTGTGTATAAAATGAAATATCCTCAGCCATAAAAAGAATGAAATCTTGACATGTGCAATAATGTGGATGGAGCTAGAGTGTATTATGCTAAGTGGAATAAATTAGAGAAAGACAAGTACCATATGATTTCACCCATGTGGGATTTAAGAAACAAAACAGATAAACATATGGGATGGAAAAAAAAAAAAAGAGGCAAACCAAAAGAGACTCTTGACTACAGAGAACAAACTAAGGGTTGCTGGAAGGAGTGGGTGGGGAATGGGCTAGATGGGTGATGGGTATTGAGGGCACTTGCAAAGAGCACTGGGTGTTATATGTAAGTGATGAATCACAAATTCTATACCTGAAATCAATTTTACCATATATGTTAACCAGAATTTAAATAAAAACTTGAAATTAAAAAAAAAAATAGTCAGTGCTCAACATGATAAGTATACTCTTTAATCCCCATCATCTATTTCACCTAACCCTCTACCCACTTCCCCTCTGGTAACCATCAGTTTGTTCTCTATAGTTAAAAGTCTGTTTCTTGGTTTGTGCCTCTCTCTTTATTTTTCCTTTGCTTGTTTGTTTTGTTTCTTAAATTCTACATACGAGTGAGATCATATGGTATTTGTCTTTCTTTGACAGACTTATTTCACTTAGCATTATACTCTCGTCCATCCATACTTTGCAAATGGCAAGATTTCATTCCTTTTTATGGCTGAATAATATTTCATTGTATATATATACTACATCTTCTTTATCCATTCATCAACTGATGGCCACTTGAGCTGCTTCCATAGTTGGGCTACTGTAAATAATGCTGCTATTAAAATAGGGGTGCATGTATCTTTGACTTAGTGTTTTTGTATTCTTAGGTAAATACCCACTGCCAGATCATAGGGTAGTTCTATTTTTAACTTTTTGAGGAAACTCCATACTGTTTTCCACAGTGGCTGCACCAGTTTGCATTCCCACCAAGAGTGCAAGGGGGGGTTTCTATATATCCACATCTCTGCCAACACTTGTTGTCACTTGTGTTTTTGATTTTAGCCATTCTGACAGGTGTGAGGTGATATCTCATTGTAGTTTTGGTTTGCATTTCCCTAATGATGAGCGATGTGCATCTTTTCATGTGTCTGTTGGCCGTCTGGATGTCTTCTTTAGAGAAATGTCCACTGATGTCTTCTCCTGATTTTTTAAAGATTTATTTATTTTTTAGAGAGAGAGAGTGTGCACATGAGTGGGGGAGGGGCAGAGGGAGAGAGAGAAATTCAAGCAGACTCCCCGCTGAACGTAGAGCCTGATGCAGGGCTTGATCTCACGACCCTGACATCATGACCTGAGCCAAAATCAAGAATCGGACACTTAAGTGACTGAGACACCCAGGCACCTGTTCATGTCTTCTGCCCATTTTTTAATTGGATTATTTGGTTTTGGGGTATTGAGTTGTATCAGTTCTTTATATATTTTGGGTACTAAACCTTTATCAGGTATATCATTTGCAAGTATCTTCTCCCATTCAGTAGTTTGCTTTTAGTTTTATTAATTGTTTCCTTCACTGTGCAGAAGCCTTCTATTTTGATGCCATCCCAATAGTTTATTTTGCTTTTATTTCCCTTCCTTCAGGAGGCATATCTGGAAAAATGTTGCTATGCACTGCGAGGCCTTTTTAAACTAAAAACTGGTAACTCCATTCTTACAAATTCTGTAGCAGCAAGACATAAGGAATTCCTAAAAATACAAAAACTAAAATACCAGTAAGAAGTCTTCACTTCTTATTAACTTTCTCTTAGAGAGTATCAGGATATAACTATAGAGGGGTGCCTGGGTGGCTCCATCAGTTTAGCATCCAACTCTTGATTTCAGCTCAGGTCATGATCTCAGGGTTGTGAGATCATGCTCAGCATTGGTCTCCATGCTGGGCATGGAGCCTGTTTAAGATTCTCTCTCTCCCCCTCTCCCTCTGCCACTCCCCTCCATCTCCCTCTCTCTTAAAAAGAAATCAGATGGGAGATGAACCATGAGAGACTATGGACTCTGAGAAACAAACTGAGGGTTCTAGAGGGGAGGGGGTGGGGGGATGGGTTAACCTGGTGATGGGTATTAAAGAGGGCACATACTGAATGGAGCACTGGGTGTTATACACAAAACAATGAATCACAGAACACTACATCAAAAACTAATGATGTCCTGTATGGTGACTAGCATAACATACTTTTTAAAAAAAGGATATAACTATAGAGGACTTTAAAAATTGCAATATTGTGGGGGCACCTGGGTGCTCAGTCGGTTAACTATCTGACTCTAACTATCTGGCTCAGGTCATGGTCTCAGGGTCCTGGGATCAAGCCCCACAGTGGTCTCCACACTCAGTGGGGAGTCTGCTTCTCTCTCTTTCTCCCTCTCTCTGTGCCCCTCCACCTGCTCACTCTCTCTCTCTCAAATAAATAAATACATCTTTAAAAACCTGCAACTCTGTGGGAGAAGCAACTCAGTTTTATTTTTTTTAAAAAGATTTTACTTATTTATTTGAGAGGGAGAGAGAGCACAAGCAGAGGGAATGGGAGAGGGAAAAGCAGGCTCCCCACAGAGCAGGTAGCCAGATGTGGGGCCCGACCCCAGGACCCTAGAATCATGACCCAAGCTGAAGGCAGACACCTAACCAACTAAGCCACCCAGGTGCCCTAACTCTTTCAGTTTTAATACACCTTTATACTACTTTCATTAAAATATGCCATGCTAAAAGTAGAACTATATCTTCATTCTTGAGACTACCTTCAATTCCAAGTAACCAAATAATTTTACCACTTCCTATGAAAATTCCTATAGATTTATCTTTCATTACCCCATTTTTAGGTATACATGTTTTTAAAAATATTTAAAAATACTTTTTAAACTTACCCTGAAACATGCAACATCAGCAGCATGTAGAAGACAAAGAAGAGATTATGAGTATACCAGAAGATGTCATAGTTGGAAACTCTGAAAAAACAAATAACTTCATTTCAATTCTACTTTACATTCCATCATTTCAGACACATGTCACAATTGAAGAAAGTTAAAATAGGAGTTATCTCAGATTTATCTATCAGTATCAAAGTATTAACACACCATGCAGAGAGAACTGACAAAATTGTAACTAACACTTTATAATTTTGAAGGTTCTTTGTATTTCAAATAAAGATACATGGAAAGAATTAAAAGAAAATGTTTATTTTAAAGTTATGATGATATAAGATTGAGGAGTAGGTTATAGGCTGCTAATATGTACTTTTACTGTCCTTTTGATCAATATTCTCAATTTCCAAATGCAATCTAAAACAAATAATGCTCCTATCCCAATACATATTGTAAGAGTAGTCCAAAGGAAAGTCAAATTGAGAGAAATTAAAGAAATGCTCATTAAAGTTTTCTATTGTTTTCCTGAACAGCATATATGTTAAAAATTAACACCTTGGTGTTACTTACTGCCCTAGGGGAGAAACAAGAGTCTGAAAAGGAAGGGGTATGATAAGCACAATCTATGAAATTTTTGAGAAAAGTAAAAATACTAACAGTTACTTCATTTCATATGCCTGGGTGGATATTCATATTAGAACTTGGAGGTGGAGGGCAGAAATTGGTAAAAGCTTCTTAGAGGATTCTGTTAAAACCCCTAGAACCTTTTAGAACCCCTGATTTAGGAAGTATCTGATTGATTGACATTTACTTCATCCACAGCTTTTGCTATCATAAACAAGATCATTAACATCTTCATAACATATGACTTTTTGCACATATCTGATTCTTTTTGAACCTAAATTCCTAGAAGTGGAATTGCTACATCAAAGGACACACATTCTGTTTTTGATACACATTGCCCATTGCTCTCTGAAACCATTTATCAATTACAAACCCCACTGTAGAGGAGGAGAGCCTGTTACTCCAAACCCAGACTCCACTTGATATGTTTTCATTATTTTGTATTAAGTGGAATTGGTTATTGTTTCCTTCCTGTGTTATTTGCTTTTAATTCTTCTGTGATTTATCTCTTCATTATCCATTTCTATAGTGTATTTTTCTTAATTGTTGTGTGTAAACTATTTAAATTTTAAGCATGTACTAGTTCCATATAATTACAATAATTTATTATTGGGCAAAATTTCTTCTAAATTTTTAATGACATAAATTTTTTTACAGTTACCTCTAAGTCATATAGAATTTCATTCACGTAAGCCTTATTTTCCTCATAACTTTGTAATGGCATCTTTATTATTCAGCAGCCTCATATATATAGCAAAGTATCTTCCAGGGCTTTCTATCAACTCTGTCATTAGGTCCAATTCCTTGGTCATTTTTTTTTCTTTTTTAGAGTTTTATTGAAGAGTAACTAATTCACAAAAAGAAACCACTCATATTTAATGTATACAATTTGAGGAATTTGGATACATGCATGCCCCCACAATATCATCGCCACAATCAATATAATAAACATAGCCATCACCTCCAGTTTCTGTTGTGTCCCTTTGATTTTTGTTTTTGTTTTTGTATAAGACCACTTAAGATCTACCCTCCTAACAAATTTTTGAGTGCACATCATAGACACCATGTTGCACAGCAGATCTCTGAACTTATTCATCTTTTTTTTTATTATGTTATGTTAATCACCATACATTACATCATTAGTTTTTGATGTAGTGTTCCATGATTCATTGTTTGCATATAACACCCAGGGCTCCATGCAGAACGTGCCCTCTTTAATTGACCAAAGAGGGTCAATTCCTTGGTCATTTTTGCAGTTAAGTCCTCTTCTGTTTTAAGTTACTGAAGTTTAATCATGTTAATGTTTAGTAAGCAACCGTCCCCCTTTTACTCCTCTCTGGAACATGTACTTGGATGTTCCCTCAGATGAACTTTAGAACTGTTTTGCTGAGTTCAAAAACAAATTTTAGAACTCTTTTGCTAAGTTCAAAAACAATTTTGATTGGAATTGCAACAACCTATAATATGATTGAGGAAGAACTCCATCTTTATGGAGTTATGGAATAAAGACAGTCTTTATTCAAAAATCTCTACTTATTTCTCTCAGTGAAGATCTGTTTTTTTATATAGCTTTCAATAGTTTCTTATTAAGTTTATTTCTAGATATTCTATGTTTTTGTTGCAGTTGTGAGTGGTACTTTTTTATTTTATTCAATTTCCAAACTGATAATAGCTGTTATATAAAAGCCACTTTTAATATTTGTTTTGTGTTCATTTACCTATTCTGACTCTTTAATTTGGTATAATACTATTTTTTCCCATAGTTCTCTTGGATTTTCTGGATAGACAATTACATGTACCTTTCTGGAAATAATGATGACTTGTTGTTGCATTCTTTTTAATAATTCTATTTCTAATAATTATAAATGTTTCATTTCTTATCATATGTAAATAATGGCAGAATTAAAAATATCACTTGTTTTCGTAATTTTCTTAGGAATGTATCTTATATTTCTTTGGTAAGTATGATCTCAGCTCTAGCTTTCATATTTTTTAATTCTATAAAGGAAATTAATTCCTAGTTTATTCTACTTATTCTAATTCAAACTAGAGCTCAGATTTAATTACCACCTTTTAAAAATCTATTGAGATGAAAATATGTTTGTATTCCTGTCACCTACTATTAAAATATATTACTTATTTTAATAGATTGACCACAAATGGACCATTGGTGAATTACTAGACTATATTCAACTATTCAAACTACAGAGCCATTTATTCACTTCATTTCTCTAATGCTTTATTTCCTCACTGGTAAAGAGAAAGGTAAAAGAAGATTATCTCCATTATCCAAGGAATCCATGGGGATTCCATGATTCCCCCAGGGGTGCATGGGTGGCTCAGTCATTTAAAGCATCGACTCTTGATTTCAGCTCAGGTCATGATCTCAGGGTTGTGAGATCAAGCCCCATGTCAGGCTCCGCACCAGCAGGCAATCTGTTTGAGGATTCTCTCTCTCCCTCTCCCTCAACTCCTCCCTCCCTGCCTCCCCCACCACCATCTCTATCACTCTAAAATAAATCTTTAGGAAAAAAAAAAGAATTCCATGGTTCCCCCAATAAAGGTTGGAGAAAAGTAGAGTTGGTTTTATAATATCTTTTAAGAAATGAAAAACGGGGCACCTGACTGGCACAGTCAGGTAAGTGGCCAACTCTTGATTTCAGCTCAGGTCATTATCTCAGGGTTCTGCAAATGAACCCCAAGTTGGGCTCTGTACTCAGCATGGAATCTGCTTGGGATTCTCTCTCTCCCTCTCTCTCTGCCCCTCCCCCCACTCACACATGAGTGCATTCTCTCTCTAAAATAAATAAATCTTTAACAAAAAGAAAGAAATGAAAAACTAAAGATTAATAAACATTCACTGAATTATTATGAGCACAAATGTAATGACTCAGTTGAAAATAGAAGCTGATCTTTATATTCCATTTTCTAAAACTATATCTCAAAGACTTTTTTCCTAGATGTAGAACACTCATGTATCTTCAGTCTTGCAAATAAATGTCAGATGCCCTAATTTTCCTTCAAGAATACCTAAAACTGAAAAATGAAAGTTTTTTAATGAATGCTTTACCTAACTAAAAGAAAATTTCTCCCCACAAAATTGGCACTCTCATGCACTGATGTTAGAGAAAGGTGATTTTTAATTCTTACGAAAAGTCTTAAAAATGTGCTTACAGTTTGACCCAGTCATTGTACATCTAGATTTTTTACTTAAGACATAACTGAAAAAGTATGTGTTCAGAAGTGCAAGGATAGACTCATTTTAATACTCTGTTGGGTAGGGGCGCCTGGGTGGCTCAGTCAGTTAAGCATCAGACTCTTGATTTCAGCTCAGGTAATGATCTCAGAATCGTGGGATTGATCCCCATGTTCGGCTCTGTGCTCAGTGCAGAGTCTGTTTGAGATTCTCTCTCTTCCTCTCCCTCTGCTCCCCCCACCCCACCCAGCTTGCTTGCATGCGTGCTCTCTCTCTGTCTCTCTAAATATATAAAATCTGAAAAAAAAATACTCTGCTGGGCAATTATTTTCAAAGCATGTATGTGTGTGTGCATGTGTGTGCATTTCCATTAAATTTCACATCTCAACAAGTAAAATGATTTGGGATTCTTGAATATTATGTATTATCTCTTCTTTTTGCTTTCTTAACCAAAAAGTTTGACCAGAAACATAAGATGCTGTAAAATATTATGAAATAAGAATGTATCCATCAGAAAGAACATGTGAGAGTGCTCATGAAAATGTATACCTGCAGTTGCTCAAAGTCTCGTAACTAGATGAATAAATATGCATGCAGATATTTCTGATTATTTTAACAGATGTCAACTAACCATATTTCCAAAGCTTCATTTAGACTACTACATTAAATTGCTGCAAAACAAACTCACACCAGGAAATGAGTATGAAAGTGAAGATAATTGGAGGAAAATCTAAACATTCTGGCCAGTAAACATTGAAATAATGGTTCTGACACTCACCGTATTGCATATGTAGAAGCTGTAATCATCAGGAAGAGCACCAACACCATGCCCACCCCTGTCAGGCCAGGCACTATAAAAAATTGTATATAAGTACATTTTAACTTAAAACATACTGTGAAAAAAAGTACAAAAAGTTACCTTAAAATCCAAAGTACTATGCTGCTCTGTGGGAAGCCCAATTTAAATCGCCTATCTCCTTGTATGTTCCCTCTCAAAAAAAGGCCTTTCCAAAATTAGCAGTTTCAAGGTACTTAGGACAAAGCAGTCTTTCTACCTTTAATATAAGAGTCCGCCTTAGTATTTTCAAGTATCCTACTCAGAACGGTGAATGTGTACATACTTCTATAGGGACGTGCTCTACCAAATGTACAAAGATCAAATGTCAGTAATGAAGACAAGAAACAGAAATTAAATATATGTTTAATGGGGAGGCAGGGAGGGGCAGCAGGGAAAAACTTCCAAAGGCATGAAGAAATTTTAAAGACTTAGTGTTAAGATGGGTTCATTATATTGATAGTGTTTGTTATATATATATATATTGATGGTTTCATGGATATATGCAAGAGTCAAAACTTATGAGAGTATGCATTAAATAGATGCAATTTATTATATCTTAATTATACATTAATAAAATTGTTTTAAAGGAGGAAAAAATATACAACAGGGCTGGGTTCACATGGAGCACCTTTTATTGTTTGGTTTTCTCCCCCACAGTATTAACACTCCCTTACTCTCTCAGCCCCCCTTTTATGGAACTAGTAGCTGCTTCAGTTTCAATTCAAATAATTTCTTTTGGGCTTCACTACGTAGAATAATTTTAATGAAAAAATAAAATCTAAAGCTTTCTAAAAACCACAACTTTAAGCATAGAACAAAACAAAAGTAGATTTCAAGAAAAAAATTATAGTGCTGATGTTTTAAGAACACTTGCAGGCATATTTCCTTAGTATGGAAAATATGCTGTAATCAGGGCTTCTGATATGATATAACATCATTTTTAACAAAGAAAAAACTGTGCAAACGTGTTGCTTTTCAAACTTAATACTGACATGGTAGATGGCTAAAAATCCAATGTTAGCCCATATAGCATATCCAAAATGAATAGCTGATATGCTATATCAACAAGAACTAAAACCACAATAGTCTCATTTCTTATTATCTTATTCCTACCAAATAAAATATCCTGTCTATAAGTTACCATTATTTACTCTTACAATCATATAAGCAACAGTAAGTCCCAAATGCCCCAGCTGAGAGATTCCACCTTAAATCTATATGGAAAGCTACTGAAACAACTGTATCTCCAAAAGCATAGACGTCCCCCAACTTCTCTCCTTGCCAAAGAACCACCTAGGAAACAGAAGGGCCATCATGAACTATAAGCCACTAGCAGAAGCAGACAAGCTGGGAACGAGAGAAGAGCAACACGGGTATGCATCATTAGAATCCCAACAGTTTAGAAACAGTGGAAAATAACATTAGAAATCTCAGTGGAGTGGAAATAACTTTCTACTTGTAAAGAGTCATATGAGAAATTAAGGAGTTAGTCTTTGTATACTTAAACTTGGATACTCTTTCTTCCTCAGTCTTCCCAATGTACCAGATTTGGAAGCCTAACAAGACTTCCACTTCCTGATGCGCTTAATCCAAATCATCTCTCTCTACCCTTCTTTTCCAGGGCACTCCCTTCTCCTCATCTTTCCCATTGCCCCAGGTGAGTACTAACTGCCTAGGGGTAAGAGAAGAACAAGATGACTATACTAAGTTAAAGGACTAATAGTACAGAAAAATGTTACTTACAAAGAACAACATGTCTATAAAATGACCCAGCCTTTCCACTCCCAAGTATTTCCCCAAAAGAAACACAAACATATATCTACATAAAGATTTGTTCAAAAATATTCATAGCCACTTTATTTTTAACAGTTAAGGCCTGTAGACAACTCAAATTTCCATCAACAAATGAATGGATAGACGATTGTAATATCTGTACCTGGAAAATTAATCAGCAGTTTAAAAAAAATGAACTATACGCAACAACATACATGAATCACAAAATTATTTGACCAAGTGAAAAAAGCCATTCTCCCCTCAAAAAATCCCAAGAGCATAAACTCTGTGATTCCTTTTAACTGTGATTCCTTTTATATAGTATTCTAGAATATCCAAACCAATCTCCAGTGATAGAAAGCAGATCAGTTGCTAAGAGGAATAAAGGGCAGGATATATTATAAAGGCACAAAAAACTTTTTGGAATGATAGATATATTTGTCATCTTGATTTTGTTCTTGATTTCACAAGTGTATACACACATCAAAACCAATTGAGTAACATAATTTACATATGTATAATTTAGTGTACTTCAATTATAACTCAATACAATTGAAGAAGAAAGAAAAAGGGGGAGGGCTTTCTCTCTGGCTTCAAGTAATTAAAAAAAAAAACAAAACCTTATTTGACCAAATGAATAAATAAATGATAGAATCCCAGATGGCTCCATGATGTGAAATGTGTGGCTGGAGAGGCCTTTCCCATAATTCTCTTGGGGCTTCATTAAGGTATACTGTGTTTGCACGCAAGGTTTCCCACATGGTTCTAAATATGCCAAGGTTAGTTATGGAATGTCTACAAATCACTTCATCAGGACACCTGAAAAAACTGAGTATTTTTAGTGTAGAGGCATAATTTTCAAAGTATATTATTTGAGCATTAATTCCTTGAGATATTAACTTCTATTACTCAGAAGTGTAATAACTATTCCTTGAAGAGTCACAGGACACATTAGTATATTAGTCTCTGGGAAGTACTAGTACCAAAAAGCCAGTTTAAATTTGAACAGATCTTTCCTCAAACATTTAACTAGAGAACTCCTTTTAAGAGCAAAACATGGAAAATGTATTGGAAAGATTTTGGAAGGGTGGGTAGTAAAATAGTTGATGTCAGTCATTTGAAGATGAAGTAGACAGCTTGGCTGATGGGATGCACATTCTGGGATTAATGGTCCTGTTACTGTCCCTTAGAACAAACCCCAATCTCACTGGATCTCATCTGTAAACTTAGTAGAATCAATTCAATGCTTTTTAATATTCTTTCAGATTTATGAAGTTATATTTTTTATCTAAAGGATTCAGGTTTCCTTTCTAGTTCACAGAAGTATAAAAAGACCAGAGTTTGTAATTTATAAATAGACCAGATCAATGAAGAAAAAGTTACTTATAATTAACAATGAAAATAAAAAATTAGGGGCACCTGGGTGGCTCAGTTGGTTAAGTGTCCAACTCTTGATTTCAACTCAGGTCATGGTCTCAGGGTCGTGAGCTTGAGCCCTGTGACAGGCTCCACACTCAGCGGGGAGTCTGCTTCTCTCTCTCTCTCTCTCTACCCCTCCCCCTGCTCACGTGCTCTCTCTCTACCTCAAGTAAATACATAAAATCTTTAAAAACAAATTACTACAGGGGCTCCCGTGTGGTTCAGTTGGTATGCGTCTGCCTTTGGCTCAGGTCATGATCCCAGGGTCCTGAGATTGAGCCCCACATCGGGCTCCCTGCTCAGCTGGAGGACTGCTTCTCCCTCTCCCACTCCCCCTGCTTGTGTTCCCTCTCTCACTGTGTCTCTCTCTGTCAAATAAATAAATTAAAAAAATTATTACAATTACAATGGTCGAAAAAAGGGAGTACCTTAAGAAGCTATGCTTTTGTGTCACTGGAATTAAACAGAGGCTGGCTAACTGATTATCTGGATGCTATAAAGGAGGTCTATGTACCAAGTAGAAGAGTTAAACAATTGGCTTTATCTTCAGTAAATATTCTCTGGGCATCTATAGTGTACTGTTAAGTGAGAAAAAAATGAATCCTGCTCTAAGAGAAATCCCATTCCAATGTGGGAGACAGGATAAGGAGACAAATGCAACCTAGGGCACTAAATGCTAAAAGAGAGCTAAGTTTGAATGTTTTCCGGGTACATCAAAGGGCACCCTAACCTAGCTTTCAAGGACAGCTCAGCTAAGACCCAACATATTAGCCTCTATTAGTACATACATTCCAGGAGTCAGGAAGCACAGGTTGGAAATGACTGAGCTAGTCAAAGCTTACTGGACAAAGTTACTTGCCAAAGTGAAGTACACTGTCTCTTTGAATCCTTCAAGTTATGAAGCAAAATCTAAACTTGTTTCCTTAGGAAGAGACATGCTTGTATGTTTATTCTTATTACTTTTTATCTATGCATATTAGATTTCTTAGTTGCTTTTAAAATGAATGACTGCAGTGTACTGCCATTTCTAGATGAAACTGAGGGATCATTTTCATCCATACCCAGATGTGGTCAGAAATATACCATCTTGTACTCATTATCCTGTTGTTTCTACCATAAGTGGAAACACAATTCTATTTGTTTATGAGGATTTTTCTAATTGAAATTGGATACTGTGCATTTTATTCTCATCATACAAGGTATTACCAAATTTGGAAATAATGTAGCAAGCGTTTTGAAATGCATGTTTGAATAAACCAATCTTTTAAACTTGTTTTACTTTATAAATTCTTTTCCTTTATAAGTTCTTAATTGGACTATTTTTAGCATTTCTTATTAAGTGATCTAACTACCATATTTTATATCCCTTGAACTGCCACTGGCTTTAGTTTCTATGAAACAATAAATGTTAATTTCTCTGTTGTAGGTTATGTTGAAAAATATTTAAGGACAGAGAGAGAGAGAAGACTCTATGTAACAAACTAAATCCAAGAAATATATTAATTAATAAAAAACAGTCTTTATGACTAGAACATCTAAAAACACGCAAGCATTCCTCCATCAGAAACGGGATTTTTCCTAGGCACTGTACCTAACAACATTCAAAGATAGCTATGAAAAAGTTTTCATCATAGACGTATTAGTAATACCAAACTAGGTTAAGTCCACTTGTAGAAGACGGTTTCTTCTCCCTTGCCATCCTTTGATTCTGTTTTGTTCTCTCACCTACTATGTGGTAGGGCCAATCAGATGCCCTCAAAGCTCTGGACTCATACTTCGGGGTTTGAGGCTGGGTTCCAAGCTGGGAACTGAATGACTCCTTCTGGCCAGCACACTACTTCTTTCATGAAATGATGTAGACTGGGACACTAAAATGAGGCTGACATGCTGATTTGGGGTGATTCCCATTGTTTGTATTGACAGAAACTCCACAAGGGGCACCTGGGTGGCTCAGTCATTAAGCATTTGCCTTCAGCTCAGGTCATGTTCCCAGGGTCCTGGGATTGAGCCCCGCATTGGGCTCCCTGCTCAGAGGGAAGCCTGCTTCTCCCTCTCCCACTCCCCCTGCTTGTGTTCCCTCTCTCGCTGTGTCTCTCTCTGTCAAATAAATAAAAATCTTTA